CAGAGGCGGCGGCGTCCTCAGACCTCAGAGGCGGCGGCGTCCTCAGACCTCAGAGGCGGCGGCGTCCTCAGACCTCAGAGGCGGCTCCAATGGGCCCTCAGGGGCTGCTGGATGTCCAGGCGTGCATCTGTTTGGCCATCTGCAGCACGAAGACGATGTCGGGCCTCTGGACCGGGTCTGGGTTGATGCACATGCTGACCAGGTCACGCAGCTGGAGAGGAGAAGAAGCTGAGGTTTCAGATCCAGCCGCCATTTCTATCCTCAGTAATCTTAGAAACAGAACCAATATAATCTATAATAACATTCATTTAATCTGGATCTGGAATAGAAAACTAAATGTTTCTGACTCTGAAATTACAAACCGCTGATTCCACATGAAATAAGGAAATACTGCAGCTCCAGGCTTAGTTCAGGCTGGGAAAGGGGCCCCGCAGGGCCCTTTTTACCCAACGAGGCCCCACAGGGTCCTTTCTACTGGACGGGGCCCGCAGGGCCCTTTCTACCCAACAGCGCCCCACTAGACGAGGCACCGACTAAGAAGGGCAGTTTAGTTTTTTTCCTGCCTCCTGGAGCAGCGCCCCTCAGATCTCAGGAACATCTTACCTCCTAACTTTCTCTAAATCAAAGGTTCCTCCAGACGACCAAATGTTCGTCCTCAGGTGAGTTTTTAACAACATGTCCGTCTTTAAACCAGCTGCTTCTTTTAGAATCTCTCTGCTTCTTGTTTTTACATTTACCAGCTAACAGACTACAGGTGAAAATTAGCATCACAGGCTAAATCTGGCATGTTTCCATGGTAACTTGTGCTCACACTAATAATGATGCATTGTAAAGAAACACATTTCTGTCTGACAACCTAAGCCCAGTATGTAGATGGTTTATCTAACGAGCTAACCAGTATAAACCAGTATAACCGCCTCGGACCAGAATAGAGCAGAGAAACGATCAGTTTGAAGCTCAGCTGATATTTCAGGGGATAATTCCTGATTAACTGTCTGAGGAAACGATCTAAACCTTTTATTCAGCTGAAAATAAAGACCAACACTCACTGCACAGCGAAGGTTTACTGAGACAAAGTTCAGGATTTACAGGAAAAGTCGCTCATATTCAGAATCCAAACTTCTGAAAGTTCT